AAAAGGTTTGTGTGCAATATACCAAGCCATTTTTGTTGTAGGCTGGCAAGAGAATAATAATAAGACAACGACCTGGGACTGACCTCATAACCATTTTGTGCTTGTTATTGTTTTCTTGCTATAACTTTTAATACAGTAAGCGTATCTTCAAGAAATTTTGCATATTATCAGTAAACATTACAAGGCTTTCATATACAAAAAATCATATTTTTGTACCAAGTTTTAAGATTTTTAAAGTAATGATTTGCTCATGCATTTTTTCTTTTCTAATGTTTAATATCCAACATGCAATGTAATTTTGATTTTAAGATTAAAAATACTTTTTTATACATCAGAAAACATTCAAATTTCACATGCAAAATTTTTATAGCCTCCAGATAATTACTAAACTTTAAAAAAAAAGAAAAATACTTTATCTGTTATTTTTACTATTGTATTTCTGTACGGGTTGGGTCAATTTGATCGACCTCGTAACCACCATAAAAAATTAGGAAATAGATATAAATTATGCTTTTTTTTGGTTCTAGAATGACTACAGATTATAACATGAAAGTTAACATTTTCTAGCACTAAAAATGTATTTCCGATAGGTACTTACCTCCTTTCACCCAAAGCTATTTTGACTTTGATTGCTAAAATTTTCAACAGCATACCAGTCTTTTATATCCTTTCATTTTTGCACCATTGTAGCACAGTCCTCACTTTCGAGAATTAGCAGTTATAAACCAGAAACACTGGCAAATCAGTTAGAAGAAAGGGTTGGAAATGGATAAGAGAAATACATTTTCAATGTTAGAAAATGTTAACTTTCAAAACAGCACTACCTCCTCTCACCCAAAGTTAGATTCCCACATTGCAAAGGTGGAAGGTCCGATGAAGGTGCAAAAATAATCAAACAAACATAAACTGCTAAAAAAATTACTGCAACAACAACTTCCGTCGGCGAGGTGTTGTTGGGGCCCTATGCTCCAGTGGGAGTCGACAGGGATTATTGTGTGTGTGTATGTGTGTGGTGTTCCCAGTAGGAAACACATCCACAGAAATGCCCAAGGATGAAGGGACCACTCTGTGGAGAACTTGGTTTGGACATGATTAGTGAACGGCCACAAGATTCATAACTCTGGGAACATGACAAACCAGAACCTCCATGTCGTGGTCATTGGCCTAGTACAGGAAATCTAGAGTCTGAAAATACCGAGACCTGGACTTGGTGATATAGCGGGGCCAGCTTTATTTATTCAATAAATATATTAATATCTCAGAAAATAGAAAAGATAGGAGGTTCTTATCTTATATTCTAGCTTGTCAATATCATTACTTTGAGTATCTAATTCGTAAGAAACTATAGATTTTGTATTTTGACATCACAAACATCTAATTTAAACCAGTACTGCATTCAACATACCACGTGACACATAAAAATCGATGTTTAGGATTCTTTAAATATTTACTTTTAAATCAACTTGTTTGTTTGTAGTTAAGTACAAAGCTACACAGAGCTATCTGTGCTCTGCCCGCCACGGATATCGAAACCCGGTTTCTAGCATTGTAAGTCTGCAGACATTCTGCTGTGCCACTGGGGGGGGGGGGGCTTTAAATTAACCAATGTATTGTCACATATCTGCTTGTTTGTTAATTTCCGGTATAAATTATTTCCGAGGAACTTCAGTGATACAAGTCCTTTATTAATTAAATCAGTTTATTTCTTCCCTGGATACAACTTTGTAATACACAGAATTTCCAATCAGTACCTTAAACTTAACTTCTTTTATAACACACGCTATAAATTACAGCGATTCACACACTTTACTTACGGTGCATACTGTTCGCTTGACTCAATTATCTATATCTTCGAGCTATCTGCATATCTACCTATTTATGCAATCGTGCTGGTTTTTCTCTCAGGCTTATATTCTAAAAAAGAGGGTGCCTCGAACAAACTCGGGCCTCCCCGATAATTCATGATCCTTCCAGAAACTCCAGCGCGCATGCTCCCAGCCTCATGCGACAGTATAATACCAAAATTTGAATTATAATATACAATTTGATACCAAACTTATTGACATACATTCATACAATAGTAGTTCAATAAAATTTTGAATGCGGGTCCGCAAACATGATGACATGGCCTATGACCGTGCCAGTAGGGTTAATCCTTTAACTCATTTTAATATGTGTTATGTAGTGAAAAACTATACTTTAGTGATAAGATACTTGTAAAAATTTAGATTTCTGTAAGCATGTTTTTTGTGTTTTTTTTTTAATCCAGGGTCAATGAGCTTGGAATACAACCTCATCTTGGAACTGTCAACTTTGGACAGTTACTGGGGATGAGTGATCAAATCACCTTCCCGCTTGGTAGGAATATTTTTGAGAATAGAATTAACAATAAAAATGTTATAAAACTAAACAATAAAACAGTAATATATTAATTATACCAATATGTGCATTTATTTAAACAAATAAAAGTAAAGTATATTTGAAACCATGACTAATAAATGCAATTAAGTAATAAAATAGTAAAATATTTTATTTCAGTAAAATAACACAATAAAAAAACTAGATTAGATTTCTGAGAAAATAAACATAAAATCATCCAAATTTGTGAGATTACGCATTTAAGCTGAACTAATATATTTCTGATTAGATTATTGCCTAAACCCATTTAGATACATGTAATTATTTAAAATTTCAGTAAAATAATTACATGAAATGTTTTTTGTATGTGTAATGTATATAGAATTACATTAGAGTCTAGAGATGTACATTTATATTATTCCTCTCACATGTTTGTAAAATATATCCGTGTCTCTAGCATCAGCTGGATTTACAGTTTACAAGTCTATTCCTTATGGACCGTTAGGTGAGGTTTTACCATATTTAGCTCGACGAGCAATGGAGAATCAAACCGTGTTGGCTGGAGCGAGGAAGGAACAACAATTATTATGGCAGGAAATCAAATTAAGAGCAAAGAATTGTCTAACACCTAATCTGAGGGAAATACCTACAAGAACTTTCTAATTGTGATATTGAGCTGTTAATAATTTTATATTCAAAATAAAAAAGTAACTGATAATGAAATACTTGGTGTATGTTTGTTTGTTTTTTACCATTAGTGCTGAATTTTTTATTGTATTAGCAAAAACTTCTAATTGATAACACAACTAAGAATGTAAATTTTCAAAATGTGCTGCTCATTGAGTAACTGTCACTGTGATTTTTGTATTACTGCATTCAAAGGGTAGCTGTTTTTATTTAAATGTATCTTGGTAATAAATACCTATACTAAAGGTATGATTTTGTTGTTGTTGTGGTAAGATAAACTGTACTTATTATAAAAAGCAGTGTTTCTAACTTCATTTACAAACAGTTAAACATAAGAACAAACAACATGAAAAACAAATAATTTTTAGACAGCATGGATGATATGACTAAATTTTCAAAGTATTGTGGGAGCACTGGGTTTCTGTCATAAATTAGCTTATTCTTTGTTGTTATTTACTACCTATTTCAATAATTTTGTATCAGAACTTGATTAATGTTAAACAAAATTCTGATCCTATCAAAAGGAATGTTGTTTCTGTATTATTGTTATTTACAATCTAGAAATTTAGTTAAGATGAAGCAAGCACTAGCATACGTTATTTTAATACAGATGGTTAACTTAAATGGAAATTATTTTTTTTAATGGAAATTTCCACTGCTGGGTCAGTGGCAAGTTTATGAACTTACAACGCAGAAATCTAGGGTTCAATTCTATACGGTCCAAAGCATATATATATATTCAAGGTGAAAGTTTGAAAAACAAAATTAACTAAGCTTTTTGGTATCATGTTCTTCAAAAACATTCATTTTCTGAAACACCATGTTTGTTAGAATACTTTTTCCTAAAAACAGCATATCTCAAGTGATTAAGATTTTGGTTATCAACTGTTTGCATGTTTCGAACAATATACAAGTGTAATTAAAAGAATGTTTGATAACAAAGTCTGTAAACATGAAAGTAGATAATAAATGGAAGGTATACGTCAATAAGTACTAGCCATTAAATTTAGCAGCTTGTACTTGGCTTTATAAGTGGACTTGTAAGCTCAGCGCTACAGTCCTATGACAGTATAAAGTATAATTAATATCAAACCATCTTGTAAGCTTAGCCCTTCAGTCCTATGACAGTATAAGGTATAATTAATATCAAATCATCTTGTAAGCTTAGCCCTTCAGTCCTATGACAGTATAAAGTATAATTAATATCAAACCATCTTGTAAGCTTAGCCCATCAGTCCTATGACAGTATAAAGTATAATTAATATCAAACCATCTTGTAAGCTTAGCCCATCAGTCCTATGACAGTATAAAGTATAATTAATATCAAACCATCTTGTAAGCTTAGCCCATCAGTCCTATGACAGTATAAAGTATAATTAATATCAAACCATCTAGTAAGCTTAGCCCTTCAGTCTTATGACAGTATAATTGTGTAAGTAGATTGACAACTGAAAAACATTTTTTGGATTATTAATGATGAGTAACGAACAATACATCTAAGCGAAAGATGCTGCTTACATTTCGTGATTCTGTGGGCAACACGATTTACTCATTCCTACCTAAAATTTTCCTACTTTCAACCTATTTATCTCTTCATCTTCCCACAGACGTTTTCTCTAAGCACTTTAGATTCTAGGGATGTAGCAATACTTTGTTACCCTCCAGTATCTTGTGCTGTGACAACTAATACAATTTAATTACTTTAATTTACTAGCAAATACATATTGCAATGACAAAAAAAAGTTTAGCTTTAAATGCTAACTTAACTTTCGATACACGCCACCTGACAACTCTCGATTTATATCCAGAATTTAAACCATTGCTACAGACAATCAATCATGTTAGGTCGTCAAACTTCAAGTCCGTTTTTGGCCTCTCACACGTCAATCATGTTAAGCCGTCAAACTCCAAGCCAGTTCTTGGCCTCTCACACATCAATCATGTTAGGCCGTCAAACTCCAAGCCAGTTCTTGGCCTCACACACATCACATACTCTTTTGGGTGTTTCCAGCCCTATAAGCCAAAACAAGGGACAGGAACAATGACACGTGAGAACTGGAGGTCTTTACTTCCTCGAAGAGTTGACTTCCGAATCAAAACTGAAATTTCTAAACTCATCTCGTACTCCCAGCACCAGATAGCATTGTAAACTATCAACTTTACAGCTAACCATACAGAGAATGATAACTCTGATTTGAATACCCGAGTTCTCCTCGATATCTAGGAGCTTCCACCCCCGCACAGCCAGCCACCAAGGAAAAAATCACCATGTTCCTGGCTCCCAAACACAGGGAACAGCCTCAACAATCAACCATTCAGGAATACCAGCGCCGTTTGAGGGGCTACGACTCCTTCATAGTAACTGCTGAGGATTCTTCTCGTACTCCAGGAGTAGCTTCCAGACTCCATCTCGCGCAGCCAGTCGCCGGTCCTCCAGTTTAGGTAACACACTAATTATCCTATCTAAACTGTGTAAAAAGAGTAAAGCATGTCTCCACCTTGTGGCTACAATATTTACCGTAAAACTTAATTTTTAGATTTATTTTAGGAAAAATAAGAAACTATATAATTATCTTCGCTGCACTTTCCTTCACCCACTGCGTTCCATCTTCGGTGTAATTCCCATTTTCCCGATATATGTTGTAAGAAGTTGTAAAGGTATAAAACACTTATTTTGATCACGAAACACAACTTGGTCCGCACAGTTAAAGTCAACAATTTTATTGTCTACGAGCCATTTGTTTTAGCACCTATGTAGACCAAGTATACAAACACTATCCCCTACAGGACTTGTGTAATGAATAGTGCACTGGTAGGCTTAATTGTTGGAGTTTCAATTAAAACGACTTGTTACACCAAATTTATTTATTGGCGGATTTGTCGTGAGGAGTGGAGCCACAAGTCGCTAACTAGAGGTAGTTTACAATTAGACTAAAGAATTAGTCTCAGGCCAATGGTGAACACTTACAATAACTTTTATTAATCATTAATTCATCTAAATAACAGTTAATAAAACGAAACTTCGTTTATGACAACAAACATAAAATGGTTTTTAACTTGATTAAAATACTGATAATATCTTCAACATACACTTTCATTAATATACATAGATATTGTTACTATCTGCTTGTTTGATAATTTCCGGTAAAAATTCTTTCTGAGTGACTTCAGTGATACAAGTCCTTTCTTTATTAAAACTAGTTTATTCTTTCTCGTTACAAACTTTGTAATACACTTAATTTACACAGTCACTTTAAACTTAACAACCTTTATAACACATGCTATAAATCACAGTGATTCACACACTTTACTTACAGTGCCTACTGTTCGCTTGACTCAATTATTTCTATCTTCAATCTATCTGTATGTCTCTATCTTCAGTCTATCTGCACATCTCTTGCTGCGATCTATCTGCCTATCTCGCTGGCTTTCTTTGCCAGGCTTATATGTTAAAAAAGAGGGCATCTAGCAAACACTGGGACATTCGTAAGGTTCCCCGATAAGTCATGATCCTTCTAGAAACTCCAGCATGCATGCTCCCAGCATTGTGTAACTTCTGCTATCATAACAATATATTTTAACATAACATTTTATAAAACATTGGTATTCACTGATTAAAAGAGAATAGTAAAGTTTACTTACAATGGGGTTGTATTCGGGAACCGAATAACGTTAGAAACCTTCATATTGCCCAAGAGAGTGACTTTTTTAACTTCCAGAGGAACTTTCTGATTCCTGGAGGAATTGATTTTTCAGCCCCTGACATGGGTTTATAAAGCAAATTTTCTGTGTATTATCTCGATCATCTAAGTAGTCCTGTGATCCTATTGGATGCCTTAGGGGAATCCCCAGGCTACTCCAAAACTATAACCATAACTCTCAAGTAATTGGTTACTGCTAGGTTGTGTTAGCCGGTCACCTATTTACTTGTACTGCTACACCCATGTGCAGTAAGTGATATCACCTCAAAGCGCCGATATAGTTCTCTAAACCAAACTTTTCTGTAGCTTTCCTACTTCTAAAGGGTTGAGGTCAACCATTTGTCAACCTGTCACAAGTTCTAGTACACTCATCTCGTTTCTAGGCAACGCTTCTTACATAGCTTAACCATGTTTTTCTAGTTCATCCACGTTTCTTAGTTGTTTAAAAAAACACAACTACTAATTTAACTTTATTCTTAAACTTTCTAAATTAATAAAAACTCCTAAAAACGTTGAAGCAATTGTAAATTCCCTCGAAAATAACCCAGTTGCTTCACTCCTCCTCCCTTAAAAAATTGTTATTCATAACAAAATTTACCATTTAACCATTGTCTTCACCTCTCTCTCTCAATCAGTGAACAACTTACATCATGGATAGATACATTCAATGCTACCTCTTTTAAACACATCTATATGGTTACATAATACATATTAGATTATCATAATACAAATTGGTTAATCTATTTAAAGAAATAACATTCCAATAATTCTCAAGAGGAATACACAAATTAATGATCCAAACAACTATAAGTGTCACTTAAAAATCTCTATAGAAAGTTTGGAAGGTGTTCCAATCACAGTTGGTAATCCACTTGTACAGTGCACATACCTTCTAGTATGTGCAGTGTTCATGTGGATACCGATGGTAATCGCAAAACAGCATTCCAGGAAAGTCTAAATGTCGATATGCTGGACAACCATATTCCTTGAGGTCGATACAATGGATCCTTAGTTGGCATTGTAGTGTCCAAGCCTTCGCCCTTCCTTTGGTGTAAATTTTTATGTAATCTTCATGGCGTTTTGCTTAATATGAAGAAGATCCATAAATAAGTGATCCCTGTCCAAATCCTTATATTCATCGATGGAAGACAAGATGGCTTTCTATACCTCTCCAGGACAAGTTCCAGATACTGGCTGACTGCTTAAAACCGTGCTTCAGTGTACCAGACATCTTTATGTTACTGAAATTCTTTGCCACACTGCCACAAAGTTTATGTTCATGTGAGCATTCGGCATTTACTCTCCACCAGTTGAAAGACTGAGTGCTCTAGCTTT